ATATTATTCATTATGTAAAATATATCTAAATTATTATATTTGTTTATGTGACAAGATAACTTTTTATCTTGTATTATTTTATAATTACATTTAAAATATATTAACCTGTAATGGTTTATATTATATAATATTAATGTAATAAGATATCATAACCTGCACAGGTATTTGTTAATCCTAGTGGGCACGGGTATAGGTAGTATACTACTTGCCCCAAACTCCCTCTAAGAACCTTTATTCCTCACCTACATTTTAATTAAACATTTAAATCTTAATAAATCCAAATGTTAGGAACACATGTTTTTATTCTCACTTTCAAAAAGTTATTTTTTTACGTAATATATTAACTAATTAATTCTATGTGCACACGCACACATGTCAAATGAGACGAATTTTAACGTGAAAATAAAAAAGATAAATTTTAATCATTAAATCTAACAATAAATTGTTAATATTAAAATTTCAAGAGAGAGTATATAGGGAGAGAAACTGATATTTAATTATCATAACAACAATTATTAGTTATGAGCTATACTTAATAACTTTTATAGATGTTAGATTTTATTAATTTTAATATTAGATCATGTAATATTATCTTTATAATTATGTTTATGTCAAATTTTAAATAACTTAAGTATTTGCAAACATAATTTTATATTCAATATTTTTTTATATTTTAAAAATATATTACATGTTAAAATAAAGTTATCTAATATAGACATAATTAATTATCGAAAACTCGATTGATGATTGAATAATAAAAAAAAATATTTTTATAACTAGTATTTTTAAATAAGAGACTAGTTAGCATTTATCTTTATAATATTTTATTTTTATTTGTTTGTTCAATGAAAAATATATTTATACTTATCTATTGATATAAAAAATATATAATTCAACAAAATTATTAAATTTATTCAATTTGTGTAAAATATTTTCTTCTAAATAAATAAATAAAATTTAAAATAATATTTTTTAACATATTTTTAATGTGACTCAAAATTAAGATAACATAAATTCAATCTAATAACGAAGACAAGTTTTAAAAAATTTATTAATATTCTTAATTTTTTTAATATTTTTTTTATGAAATTTTATAATTAGAGTATCTTATTTGTTGTTATTTTTTAGACCTTTTAGAAGGATAAAAATGAATTTATTTTTTAGAACTCTTTTGTCACTTCTAATAATTTAGCGCAACAAATTTTTTATAATAACTGATTTTTTTTTTAATAGTGACAAAATCAATGTTATATTTAAATTAGTTTCTAATAAGATTAGATGAGTTATTTTTCTTTTAGACCAGTTGAAATAAAATATTGATAGCATTGTCTCCAAAGCCAATATATCTGCTGCTTGTGAAGGCTTGATTCATGATAGTTGTGATATATTTATTTCAGAATTTTGCAGTGCTTTGTTATCCTATTGCAGCTAAGCTATGAAGTATTTTCTAAGGAATTCAATTGGTAATTAAACTTAAACTAAAGACTATTTAAATAGAAAATAATTTTAAAGAGGTTATTAACCTTATTTTGAATGTTGAGCAGCTCTCACCTTTTATTTTATTTAATTTGTATCATTAGAGAGACTTTAAAATCTATTAGTTTTTTTATATTTATAAAGAAGTTAATCACTATGCTGTGCTCATTGTTTAGTTAAGATAGGATTTGTTCTCTTATCTCCTGTATCTCAGTTTAATATTCTTTCCTCCCCTTATCCCCTTCTTAGGTATAGATACTAACAAGTTGTGATTTTCTAAAATTACATTACTAGCATTCTCTTCAATAATTTTAAAATATTTAAAAGTGCTTAAAGAATATTTTAAAATTAAACAAGATAATAAAATGCAAATTTCTAAATAAGTTAAAAATTATATTTACTGACCATTCTATCTGTCTATTAAAAAGTTGACAATATCTATAATACTAACATTTATTAACAAAAAATGAAACTTTTAAAAAAAATATTATCTCATAAGCATTGAAAACATTTTATTTGCGAGATCTTTGCAAAATTTATATATCTTTAACCCATTTTGTTTTTAAAGAGATAATATGGCACAAGCCTCTTCAAATAAGGTAATTTAATTGCCTTTATTAATATAATCGGTCACCATAAAAAATCAATAGCAACTTGGACGTATGTTTTAAAAGAAACAAAATAACGTGAAGGAAAAGCAAGAAGTTCAAGTTAGATGAAGAAACTAATTTCACGGTGGTGTTTGTAAATTGCATAGAATAAGGTATATTTATCTTTAACTTTAACTAACACGGTACACAATTAGATTTATAAGTTAGTTGTGATAAGGTAATTTTGTTATTTCTTAGATTATATGATAAGTAAGTTTTGTTAGCCTATAATTTCTATTACAACCAAAATACAAAGATAAACTTTTTGGTACTTTTCTATATGTATGAATAGCAGCTCTTGTATTTGCCTCATGTTTTATGATTAGTGAATTCTCTGAGCTCGGATGAAAAATCAGTTTTTCTTTTGGGAAGTCTGTATATGATATATAAAAAATGCAAGCAACACTAGAAGTGTATTAAAAATGTATATTTTTAACTTTTTTTCATTAAATACACACAGAGTGTGCATGAGTAAGAGCTTATGTATCCCGTAGAATTCTTGAATACTTTAATTTTCAATGGATTTCCTCCCATTGCTTGCAACTCAAAGAAGGAATGTCAATTATGCTACTTAAGAATATCAATCCCACATTAGGATTGTGCAATGGAACAAGACTCCTTATCATACGTTTAGGAAAGTGGATAATTGAAACAAAAATAATTACAGAAAATAACATTGGTGCTAAAATACTTATTCCGCGAATAGTTTTAACAGCAAGTGACTCCAAGTGACATTTCCTTTTAAGAAGAAAACAATTTCCAATAAAAGTATGTTAAGCAATGATAATAAACAAAAGTCAAGGACAATTATTAAATTATGTTGGATTATATTTGTCAAAACCTGTATTTAGTCATGGTCAATTATATGTTACATTATCTAGAATAACGTCAGCAAAAAGAATAAAAATCTTTATTATTGAAGAGAGTAACAAATATATAGAATATACAAAAAATGTTGTATATAAAAAAGTATTTCATAATCTTCCTCAATGTAATTATATTTAATATAATAAACTTTTTATTATATTTATATATTTTTAATATTTAAATTATATATTTTATATTTTAAAATAAATTAATTTAATAAAAATAAAATAAACTCGTGTAACGTACGGATATATTTACTAGTTAAAAATGTATATTTTGAACTTTTTTTCATTAAATACAGAGAGGGTGCATGAAATTTATATTATACCATTTTTAAAATAAATTTTTTGGAGAATATTTTGTTTTATTAATTTTCTTACTGTCTAGAATGAAAAGTAAACACCTTGCTTTCTTTTTTTGTTGAGATGCCAAAAATACTGAACAACCTTGGCCTGCTCGGCTGCTCGACCGTCTCGTAACTTTGACAAAGCAGTTTTCTTTCTGGAAGCCCATGTAAATGTCATACACATGTACATTGGGTTAGGTTACATATAATTATAGCTTTTAATTTTTTTATTATATTATTTTTAATATCATCGTTGATATATAAAAAGAAAGAAAGAAGTGTACTGTTCACATAATTTAAAGTTTAATAAAATTAAGGTGTTAAATTTTTTTTAGATATGTAAATAAATTAATCTAAATCACGTATTTTTATTGAAATGTGTATTTTATATCAGGAAGTGCATGGATTGATTCTCAAACTACTAATTGTTATAATCATGGTGTGCAGTAGGATTTCATTACCACTTGGTAGAAATATTAAACAGTGTCATTACTCTAGAATCATGGAAGAAATGAAAAGGCAAGATATGTTATCATAATCATGAACTGTACGAAGTCCTTATAGATCTGTTTCAAAAATATCACATGGGAAATTGTAACATATGAGTTAAGACGAGTTGTAAAAGCTCATACTTAGCATGTTAATTACAAAAAAATTTCTCAGAAAATTAACATTAAAAACTAAAAAGCTGAGATAGAAGTTGAATCTATTCTACGGTATGATCATTGTCATTTGTTATCCTAACGCAAGAAAATTATGGTTTATAAACTTTTAGATAAGTCATATAAGAGAAAATTTTAATATAAAAAATAAATAACAATTATTTCATAAAGTAAAACAACTTAGAAACAAATTAAATCATTTTATTATTTTATTTTTACACCTATAAATATTTATTGATAAATTTATAAAAACTGTGAATATTTTCTGATATTTAACGTATTTTTAAGAAAAATCCAATTCTTTGAAAATATAATATGACTGAGTAGTAATTTTAGAGAAGAGAAAACCAAGATATTTTTTTTATAATATCATTATTGTAATAAATAATCACGTTCCAGTGTCAAAAAAATTATATTACACAGTTAAATATTTTTAATTCGTGATTTTTATTTAAAGACCTAAATAATATTCTTGGTGCGCATTATTATAAATTGTCAACCACAAACGCTTTCTCCAACTAGCTAGGATGGATGGACGGTAGGGATTGATGAGGACGAGCTTAGAGCGCAAAGTGAGTTGTGGTACAAATGAACAAAATTTTCATGCCACGCGAGAAGAACCAGTTGCAGGAGTGGACAATTACTCACTTTTGTATCTTAGTGGATGAACCTGTGCTTCCTAGTTCGTGCTTTTCCCCATATATAATAATCAACGTGACCATATTCCAAATTGCGTGCTGTTTGACTTAGACCCTCGCCCAAGATTCAACTGACCAGTCTTCTTGGACTGCATGCATCTATTACTTCTCTCATAAATGTCAATTTAATATACACTTTTCACACTATATATGAAAGCCCCACATGCTGTCCAGCCTAGATTTATCACATCCTATAAATATAACACCCACAACCACACCCACATGCATTATTGCATTCATTTCTCAACACTCCAATACCGTAGCATTGTAATAAAGCAATTAAATTAAATCGCTCAAGGAAATGGCTCGTGGGGGTGAGCCTCTGAAGATAGTGCAAATAGAAACCCGCTACGTGCAAACCGATGCGGTGAACTTCAGAGATGTTGTTCAGAGACTAACGGGGAAGAACTCATCCACGGCTTGGATAGGACGTCGAAATGCAGCTTCTGCTTTATCTTCTTCAGAGATCATAGAAGGAGTTAATCATGCCATTGCCAAGCCACATGATTGGAACAAAGGTGCTGCCTCCAATGGAACATTAACAAATGATCTTTTACCTTCTTCCATGCTAATGAACAATTACGTGTCCTCCAAAGACTTTGATGCCTTGTTGTTAGAGTTGCCTCGCTTCGATGTCATGCCCTCCTCTTACTCATAGGATTAGATCGTGATTTTGCGCATTGTCACTGTTCTTTTGCTCCTTTTTCTTTTTAGTTTAACGTGGGAAACATTTATAAGAGAAAAAGAAATTAATGATAGGTTTTTCACACTTTATAATTTGCTTTTAGATACGATTTTATGTAGGCTTTATTCGTGCCATTTTGATTCAAATTATTTAGTAAGACACACAATTATTTAGATACAGTAAGAAATATTTTAAAAAAGTTTGGGTAGTCTTTTTCTACCAGTTGTTATTAGCAGTCTAGAGTCTCTCTCTTTCCTTCATGGTCGACGCAACAAAGAAAAAGGATTTGTAAAGTTTGTATAACAATGTCTTGCAATTATATTTTGGCTTAAAAATTTCACTAATTTGTGCTGTAATCTTGACAATTGGGTATGGTAGAATATTAGTGTTTGTGAACCTTGTAGACAGCATAAGCAAGTCTTATAAATCTAATTAGAAGACTAACTTAGAGCTACTCATTCAAATTTTTGTTAGCAATAAGCACATAATCTTTTAAAACACAGGGAATAGATTATCTTACTGTTTCAACGTCCGTAAAATTCATGTAAACATGTTATAAGTGTACACAATTCGATTTATTCTTTTAAGCCGTTTCAGTTTGATATTAATTTTGATGAAATATTAAAAATTAGACTCGATGTATTTTAACAATGAATTTGAGTTATATTTTGAGTTATTCCAGTCTGTTTTTTTTAACTTATATATTTAAAATAATTATGTATTAATAATAAAAATTTAAAATTAAATAATATTTTATGTATTATGATATTATAATTATATTAATAATATTTATTTTAAAATATATCACAAAATATATTTTAATTTTTAATTTTTCTTTATTAATTTCATAATTTAGTTATACACACTATTAATATTAATATATTTTGTCTATAGATTGAGTGAACCTAATTCTGTCCAAATATTATTAAATCTTGCTCGAGTCAAATTTAAGTTTAAAAATTTGACCTGTGACAAAAAATAGAGATAAATCTATCTATACACTTCTAAAACACACATAAATCAAGATGTAATTCGAAACTGAAAATATCCAAAGCATTTAGTCATTTTTAACATGGAAAAAAATATAAAAAATATATTTTTTTTATAAAAAAAATTGTTACTTTAGTGAAGCATAAAAGCATTTCTAATACATTTTAATAATTTATAAAAGTTCTAATTTTGAAAATTATTGAGCCATATTTTTTTATGTAACTAGTATAATTTCATTTTAAAATTACATATTTAGTATACTTATGTTATTTTAATAAATTAGTAAGTGGTACATGTAACACTTTACATATTTTAAAAATCTTTTAAAAATAAAAATTGTATTGTTATATATCACTTTTTTTATTTTTTAAAATATAAATTTTATATAACATATATGATTTATATATTTTATTTAAAATAAATATATACACAATGTCATGATTATTGCAATCATAAATTTGTTGACAGTTGAAGTTAGAAAATTGTACACGTTCAAATTATTTGTGTACTTATTGTTACCGTATTAAAAGAAAGGAAAATTTTCAAAAATAAGACAGGTAATTTGATTATTTATTGTAATTATAATAATGATGTTATTTTAATTTATAGATAGATTCACAAAATTTTTTCTGACAGATTATTATATCTTAATATTACTTCTATTATTAAAGAATAAATATTTACCAAACCCAAATAAAGTTGAAAATGTAAATAAAAATTACAGTTTTTTATTTGGTAAAATTAGTCTTTTAGTCCTGTAACTCTAAGGTAAAATTTACTTTCGTTCTGTATCTTTTTTTTTGTTCAATTTAGTCCTCTAAGTTTTATTTTTTTTCCACGTTAGTCATTTCCGTCACAATTGTTAAAGAACATAACAGAAGCATCTTATGTGGCACTAATGGTGTTTATTCAATCCTACCTGAAAATTTTTATTTGAAAATTGATTATAAAAATGTTAGGGCATATGAATTAGGTGTCTTCTTCTTCCAATCGAGGTAGGGCAGTACGAATTAGGGTTCTACGTCTCTTGGAAACAGCAAAACACAGGCTGAGGCTTTGATGGACTCAATCATCGACGACGACGTCTGCTCGCAGAGGGGTTGGCCAACCATTTTGTTATTGTGATGTGAATAGTGTTTATTGCATAGCAACTACAACAACAAATATGGGAAGGGGTTTTTGGGGATGTAGAAACTATGAGGTAAATTTGTAAGATTAAATGACTGAGTTTTATATTGTGTATAAATAAGTTTAACTAATCTATGTTCCTAATCTATTGTATCATTTTTCAATTTAGTGAGAGTTGTGGGTTTTTCATGTGGAGGGGAGACAATGAAGTTGAAGATAATGAAATTGTTGTACTGAGACAAAGGAGAAGAATTGTGCATCTTTAGAACTTACTCAAAATTAGTAAGAAAAATAATAAGATTTTAAGTTGTATTTTAAGTATTAGTGTGTTTATTAATGTATTAGTAGTAATGTTATTGTTTTCACGTTGTTTAGCAGAAAACCAACATTGTTTAGGGATGTAATTTCTGTAAATGCAATATGAAAGAGTGCTTTGATTAAGTCATGGTCCTACTGTTGTGATATTATTTTTTATGGATTCTTCTATCTTTAATGGAATAATATTCTCAACATATATATTATCTTCAAATATGAATGTGAGAATAGGAAATCTTCGCTGCGACTAAGAATAAAAATTCATCAACATGTACTGTTATAACATTAAGAAAAGAACAGGGACAAAATACAAGCCCCACATAATATGTTTTCCAACCAAACTGCACAAAATGTAAAGCAAAAATTAGAAAAACACATTATCCTTACATAATACATTTAACTATGTTGACGTCTTCAAGTACACATCTTCCTTCTTGTTTGACCATCAATTGGAACTTGAGAAGTAGCTAAACTTCGAGTATGACTTGCTGATGCCTCAGTTCCAGCAGGTTGTATTGCTTTGCAAATAGCTTTGTTATGTCCACTTACTCCACATATGCTGCATTTAATAGTCATTCATTTCTTATTTAATTTGTTTCCCTCAACAACTTTCTCAAATGCATCTTTCTTTCTTGACTTTTTTGGCCTCCCAGGTTGTTTCTTGATTGGTGGGGGTAAAATATCGGGGTAATCAGTAGATTCTCACAAATTAAGTCTATTTGCTGGATATATAATAGACTTGTAAACTGCTGCATAATGTTGTTTCCTATAATAAATAGGAATATAGTCTTCAGGATTAATATTAACATGGTTCAAGGAAGCAATTGAATGATAGCAAGGTGATAAGTTCATATTTTGATATATTTTATGGCTTATATTTATACACTTAAACTCAATTTTATATATATTTACACTAATTATGTTATTAATTGTTGCAATTTAGCTTAAAGTTGTTATTAGTGCATTATGGAGATATTCTAGATAAAAATTAGATATTTTTAGTCTTTAGCTGTGCTATGTGAAGCTGAATTTGAATTTTGAATTTAAAATTTAAACTTAGATATGAAGATTTGGAGCATTTCTAATTGTGGATAAAATCGATTTGAAAAGATAGAGCTCAACCGACTAGAAACTCAGGACATAACTTATATAAAGAGGCCTTATGCTCCACACTTGAGACACTTTTCACTTCTCTACACACCTTCTTCCTTTTCTTATACACTTCTCATCTCATTTCTCTTGTATGGGATCTTTGGTATTTTCTTGGCAGGACTTAAAATTTCAAGCAATCGTACTTGAAGATCGGGAAACTCACCTTACACTCTAGTTTGCTATTTCTTTTGATTATGGATTTATTTATGATTGTTTTAATTCTTTTCTTTAGCATGAGTTACTAAGTTCATATCTAGGACCATGAGAACTATTGTTCATAAATTTATGAAATTTTAAAGTTTGAATATATATTTGATTTTCGTTCGTGATTAGCTTTTATCCTATTAAATATTATTATAATCTTAATTAATTATATCGTTAGATGATCATACCTCGATTAGTTAATAAATCTATAAGGTAAAACGAGACAAAGGATTAGGTAGACCAAACCAATCTTTCTCTTTCAATCGTTATTAAATTAACAAGTTCATAGGTACTTTATGCTTTCTTTAATTGATGTCTTGCATAATTATTGGGGATATTAATTTAGAGAAAAGAATATTAGTATTGCATGATCATTGGGTATTAATAGTATTTGTATGAATGATTGGTAATCACAAGAAAATTAAATTTAGAGTTAAAACGGAAAAATAACATAAATGATTAAATGAGAAAAGACATACACCCTAGTTTCTTCCCCTATAAGTTCAACTAAGACGTATGTTGTGTTATTTACTTTTATAATTAATTTTATAATTAAATTCTGGTTCTTATTAAATTTTACATATTTTATGCTCAAACAATTGAATTAAGAAATTTTTTGTAATTGAAAATCAATCCTTGTGGGACGATATTTCAGAAACTTATTTTAAAACCTTTTATTACTTCACAACGGGTACACTTGCTTAACGAACACAAGGTATTCAGTAAGCATCCATATTCTGCAAGAACATTCTTTTAGTTCAAGGTTCACCACAAACTTATCTCCCTTCATATTAATATGTTGGACCTTAAACATACGTTGTCCACACCACCTTGCAAAAATGAAATTAAGTGTAAGTTGTAATATGAGACTAAAATGAATCAATTTGAAATAGTTAAAGGACTAAAATAATTCATTTTAAATAATTCGAGGACTAAAATAAGCATAATTTAAATCTTAGAGGATTGAAATGAACTTAATTTTTTTTAGAGGACTGAAATGAACCTTATTAAAAAGTTAATGTATCATGAAAGTTATACTTTGGCAACCACCATTGTGATTCAGCTTGATGTTTTTGTAGCTTTTTTAAGTATATTTGACAGTATATCTCCTATAAACAACGTTGCCTTTTTTCTATTGGCAGCCTACTTTTTCATTAAATAAATCCTTATGTCTTCCATCATAG